CCACTGTCAAACATGGTGGTGGCAGCATCATGGTTTGGGCCTGCTTTTCTTCAGCAGGGACAGGGAAGATGGCTAAAATTGATGGGAAGATGGATGGAGCCAAATACAGGACCATTCTGGATGAAAACCAGTGTCTGCAAAAGACCTGAGACAGGGACGGAGATTTATCTTCCAACAGGACAATGATCCAAAACATAACGCCAAATCTACAATGGAATGGTTCACAAATAGACGTATCCAGGTGTTAGAATGGCCAAGTAAAAGTCCAGACCTGAATCCAATCGAGAATCTGTGGAAAGAGCTGAAGACTGCTGTTCACAAACGCTCTCCATCCAACCTCACTGACCTCAAGCTGTTTTGCAAGGAAGAATGGGAAAGAATTCCAGTCTCTCGATGTGCAAAACTGATAGAGACATACCCCAAGCGACTTGCAGCTGTAATTGCAGCAAAAGGTGGCGCTACAAAGTATTAGCGCAAGGGGGCCGAATAATATTGCACGCCTCCACTTTTTTTTTTTTTTTTGTCAAAAAAGTTTAAATTACCCAATAAATTTCGTTCCACTTCACAATGTGTCCCACTTGTTTGATTGACAAAAAATTAATTTTTATATCTTTATGTTTGAAGCCTGAAATGTGGCGAAATGTTGAAAGGTTCAACGGGGCCGAATACTTTGCAAGACATGATATAGATATATATATGAATGAATGAATGAATGAATGAAAGTAGGTAGATTAATATATATTATATATATATATAAATCCCTCGCAATACATATGCAATATGTGGCAATTATTGATAAATGTTTCTATAGCACTTGTCAACCGTTCCATGAAAAGTTTTGCATGTGGCTACTTTTTTTTATTTCCTTATGGACCAATGGTTTAGTAATTGCACCTCCTTCGTTCTTCCCAGATCACTCAGGTTATACGCAGACACAGGGAAAACACATAGAAAACAGCTAAGGATTACAATGAACAAAATTCAAATACGGCCTACCTTTTAGCTTATTCCATTTATAATTGTGTTGTATTGTAAAACGTGGGTAATATTTTTGACGCGGGCAATATCATTATCCCAAGTAATACAGCTGCTGCTTTGAAATTGTTCGTAATATTGAAAAATAACCATTTTATAACCAGTTGACTTGCTATAATTTTTTTAGGTCCAACCATCTGCTCTATTCTACAGAAGAGTTATTGCATAATATACAGTAAACATCACAGACCCTTCAACATGGAAAAGTTACATTGTGCACTATTTTTGTGGCAAAAAGAATGAAGTAAAAGGTGGAATATTAACAATAAAGCACAACACTATATGCCTAAGCGTTGTAACATCTAAGTTTAGACAATGCATAGTCCTTTTATTACCTCATCTCTAAAACCTGATGCTTGGTCTTTGTGTGCATGCGCCTGAGTGACAGAGGATCAGGGAAAGCGGTCTCTTGTGGCTGCATTGTGCGGGAAAAACGTGAACAGAGGCTTCACTCAAACCCATCTACTGTTCACTAAACACTTTCCCACTCTCGTCCATCCTCTGACTTCACAATCGGTCTATTTATACATCACATCCTTGCATTATTCTCTCATGTACAAATACCAGTTCAACTATTTGGATTAAGCATAACTAAAATCTTAAAGTGCCACATACCATAACAAATGTAGCAGATGGATAGGATATGACAAATACAGACGTTTGTATTGTTTAGCAGCACAGAGAAGGATGTCACATGTTTTGAGGACCAGACAGTTACTAAAAAGATGTGATGTAGATGGAGCCTGGAAGTGGTTATAGTAATAAGAAACAAACTTTACTACACAACTAATGGGGAACAAAAACCCTCATTGATTAAACAAGAGCCTGTTAAAAGTCAAGGAAATCCCATCTTTCAGATTCTCCACAATAGACGATAGGTGGAGCTGTTAAGTCAGAAGGCACACATACATACTTACTGGAATAACAAGATGAGAAAACACAAGGGCTCCATCTGTTTACCAGCAGTGACTACAGCGGATCTGGAGATTATGTTTATCTCCCACAGAGAAAATTGATCATTTTGCTACAGAGGAGGACATGAAGTTTGCTCTTCGTGGGGAAAACACAAACTTGGACTAAGACTGTTTATAGCCTGTGTCTGATAACACAAAACACAGGCGAAAGACTGTGGTAAGCACAGCACCCTGCAAATGCAAAGGGTAAAACTACCAACATTTAGCATGACCGTCAATATTCCAATCCTTTTATTTAAATTTTAATAAAAGAGCTAAGCAGAAAACGATTGACTATTTTATGGGTTACTAATTGTATTAATGCAACATGGAAGATTTACATTATCATGAACAAAAATCAATCATAAAGACGTCACATTCCAGCACTCACACCTGAGCCATCCAGGTGGGACAGAGCTGCATTGAGGCTTTAATGCACAACATATACAAGGAAATTAATCATCATGAGACTCCTAGGGCTTTCTGATAAGCAAGCGCCAACAACCAGGCAGACTATTGCACACTACATCCAAAAAATTTGGAAAACATATTTTAATGTCTTGGCATATGTCACTTTGCACGGAGTCCATATCATATATTTGTTTCAACATTTAAAGTTTAATTACAGAAAAAAAAAAACTTTTGAATGATATTCTAATTTTCAGGATTTCACCTGTACGCGAGACATACATACACAGCTTACATGCAAGTAAATATAAGAGCAGTTTTGGATAACTTTAGTATATAAAAGAAAAAAGAGTGGGAGGGAACTATTCTGAAGTTACCAATTTATGGTCCAGTCAAAATTGTATGTTCTTGACTGTGAACTCTAAAGTGATATCCAATACTCCTTTGCCTCTCAAACTAAGTACTCTACCGTGCCTTTTCCGGCAAGACCCATTCAAACTGTTTTCTATGAACAAGAGGCAAAGGAGCCGGCAGCATCCAGAGGTCTCTTCAAGCCTGTGGCGGCGCATTAGACGTGGGCTAAGCTCCAGGCGGCGTAGTGCCATACAGCTGGTCTGGCACATGTCGACCCACGCACACACCTCTCCTCTCCACAGAGCACCATTCATTAACAAAGCTTTCACTGGCGCACACACCTGACCCGGAGGAGTAACCGGAGCTCTCCCACCCTGGGTCACAGCTTTGACATCGCACTGGGAATGGCAGTGCACTTCAGCTGTGTCTTACATGTTATGGATTTATGAAACGGGACATTGGCATTGCAAATAGGGCCACACAGGTAAATCTTTGCACATCCACTCAAAGTATGTTTATAAACTCAGCTGTGACCAAAGGGAAGGAATCAGAAGAAAACTTTGATTGTATCGCCAACAACACTATTTGTCGTCCTGCCCTCAACTCAAAGGGTAAATTGAGGCTTATTAGGATAGAACAGCTGAAGTCAAGGCGTGAGACATTTTGCTCCAAACACCACCAGCAGCTAGCGCACACTTCCATCAAAAAACCTGGAGCCCAATCAAGATATTGATCTTTGTTTTCTAATTGCATTATTTGAATACGTTTCACATTTTTGACATGTGACATTAGAGTTGTTGATGGAAATAAAAATAAAAGCCAAAATTGGTGTTGAAAAAGGACAGGACAGCTGAAGTGCAGAATGAGACATTTTTTTCCAGACACCAATCATAAAAAAAAAAAAAAAAAAATTGAAGTATAAATAGCTCAAAGTTGATTGTGAAGCAGGGAACTTCAAATATCAATATAGAGAAACCTTGCTGTAAAATATGGAATATGATGCATGATAAAAACATAACTTATCATGAGTCCCCTAGAAATTCCCAGCCTTTGAGTGCTTTTATTAGTCATTATCTAAAGTAGAAGGAAAGGTGGAGGTCAGCTGGACACAGATGATGCCAACAGGTGGGAGAAAGGAGATGCAAAAGAGACAAGACGGCAAGCTCGGACATGTAGGATTTACAATGCATTTGCTTTCCTCCAGGGGTGAGTTCAGGCCTGCAGCTAAGTGAACTCTGGACACTGCAGACAAGGAAGCAGTTCAAAGTCTACCATAATTCATTCAGTTTCGTTAGACCAGCATCTTTTAATCTTTACAACTAAAACACCAGCGCCAACAGCAAATCAGAGCGGGAGCCTGGAATGTGTGAGTATGTGTTCTTTACAAACAGGTTAGACGCTGGTAAAAAGAGTGTAATGGTAGTAACTTTCTAAAACCCGAAAGGGAAATAACTACAGTATTTCTGGGTGTTTGAGCGTACCCGTTTATTTGCCACACAAGCTAAATTTCTAAGGAAAATAAACGTTGAACATAAGGTACATACACAGGTCTCATACATCCATACAAGTGACAAAAAAGGCACGAGAAGCTCTGAAGACTAAGATTTAATTCAAGAAGCTCGCTAAAATATTGTTATTTGGCCCAACCCTAAGGATAATCTTTATCCAAACTTTAAATCAGGTTTCATCTAAATTTCTGTTTTAAGTGACAATGGCAACAAAACTGGACCATAGCTGTTAACTTCCATGTTGTAAAAGGATGGAACTCCATTCATTGCTCCCTTTTTACTATTGCTTCTAAAGCCATGAGTCAGTAAAGTCCATAAACGCCTAATTACCACTCTATTTACCTTCATGTATGTGAGTGAAATCCAGTTTGGGGGAGTTCAGTGTATAGGTACAGGAGTGGCCTTATTTTTTTCAGCCTTACCCACTAAGTTCACACATGAATAAAGACTGAGGCCCGCCCCTGACCTAAAGGGCCGGTTTGGCTGCAAGTTTCAGTTCCAACCAAAGCACGAGCACAGCTGACTCTACCCATTTCCTCAGGTGATTCCAGTTTTAACCTGAAAGTTTGAGGAAATCAGTGGAGTCTGGTGTGCTCCTGCTTAGGTTGGAACTAACTAACTCCACGTCCCCTGTGCCGAATTGTAAATTAGGGCTGCAATACTGACACCTACTGGCAAAGAAATTAAATGATTTAAAACTAGAAATCAATTTAAATAGAATAGATAAAAAAGGTGTTCTTACTGAGGTCCTCAGCCAGCTGGACCCGGCGGCCAGTGATGAGCTGGGTTTTCTTTTCGGAGTCCTCCCCAATGTCCTCCAACACTTCCTTGACATTTTTTTCTAACCGCCGCACTGGAGACACCAACAATACACAGCATCAGCTTTCAATTCTCTTACTGACATTTCCCTCCTAGAAAGACTTACCTTCAGTGTTTGTGAGCTGCTGTCGGAGAGTGTTGGCTGTGATTCCTAACATGCGCTGGATTCTCCAAAAAAGGACCACGTCATTGCACTCCAGCTGTGGGTAAGGAGTGCGCAATACTTTACAAACACATCCCCACAGGTAATCCGGCTAAAAACTGTGTTCTTACCTCAGAATCGACAAAGTGCCTCTGGTAATAGTAAAACCCTCTCTTGCAAAGACTACAGTGTGAAAGAGCTGTTTGCAGAAAGTGTCGCCGGTATAGCTGGTGCCAGGTGTCCTTGATCTGATAAAAATATCAAAAATATTAAAATATTCTCTCCAACAATAGGAACTAATCACAGAGAAATACAGGTCGAGTGGTGTTCATGGGGTGAGAGTCTAACCGCTTTTCTTCTTCCCACTCCATTTCAAGTGTAAATAGAGTTGTAACATATTGAAATGGTCGACGCATGGGGAAATACTGTACGTGTAGTAGGAAAATATATATATATTATACACAGTATTATATTTAATGGCATCTCCATAAACAAAGCTTTGTAATTATTAGATTAGCATAATGCTACATTGACTCAAATCTTCTTGCAAAGTTCAGTTCTTCTAGATAAAAAAAAAATTGTGTATGTTCAGAGCCAGAGCTCCAGTTCAACAAACATGTCAGACTCAGTTTTTCAATAAATCTTTTACAAATAAATGTAATACAATGCTGCCGTCTTCTAACTTACAGCGGAGACCAACCTATGCCTTCATAAAGATAATAAGGCTGTGGTTAAATTGATTAAAAATCCCATAATCACAAATTTTTTTGTGAATGAAACAACTAAATCGAAACAAATCGTCCAAACTAATTGATTATCACATTCATTTTCAATAAACAGCCTAATCTCACCAGCACTGGATCCACTTCTACACCGCGGGCCTCCAAGTTTTTACGGACCGTTGTCACCTCGTCATTCGCCAAGTACGCCGTGTGTTCATCATGGAGTTTAAGTACGCGCTCCAGCTCATTCTTAGTTTCATTCCGGATGTGCTGCATACAACGTCAATTATCAAACACCGAATGTTTTATTTGATGTTTTAATGTTAAGACTGGTTCATGACAGAAAAAGCCAACCTGCTCTGGACTGCGGTTCTTCCAGTTCATCCACCTCTCTTTCCAATCTGGACCCACCATGTCTCGGATTACGGACTCCGCTACAGGAAGAGGGAAGGGATGAGATCTTTGGGAGGACATAAATATTTACTGCCCTCTCATTAACATACTGTCTTTAAGTCGAGACTGCAGGGTTTCTTCCATGAACTGAATGGCTGCGTCCCACTGAGGCTTGTCTGTTATGGAACGGTCTTCCAGTGCATTATGTTGGATAACTCTCTGAACACAGAAATAAGAGTAATATGGTGTCTCATTAATACAGTAAAAAATAATATTGAAATAGTTACTAATGATTGTATAGGTCACATTTATCTTTTTTTTCTCTGCAATGACAGTTTAAATTCAGGGTACCTTCAACTGACATTTATTTGGATACTTTTAGAGTGTATTTAAAATTTCCTTTATTGTTTTGAAAGCATGTTGTCCCTAGTGTATGAATAGTGGTATAGAAAACTTGCCTTGCCCTTTACCGGTATATTTTGATCACATTTTATTAGTGGTGTCTGATGATGAGGACATATTCAGGCAATGTCGTCTGATGTGCGCAGGTTTGGTGCTTTTACAGCGCAGGTGAAAAAGACACTTTTAAAAGCATACTGTACGTCATTATATACAGCACACTTGTGGACCAAATACAAAAAAGCTAACATTTGCAAACTCAATGTGGCATACAACAACTGTGTGAGGATTTTATTGAAAAAGGCCAAGATGGGAAAGTGCAAGTACTTTGTTTCTGTCAGCTTATCTGTCAGCTTAATGAAAGCCAGAAATATAAAATTATTTTTTTATAAATGTGGTACTGCGTGCGTGTGGCAGTCAGTTCCACACGCAGTGTGTTTGTCTTATCCTGGACCTGTATCCTGGACCTGTAGTCTGTAATGAAAGTTTGCTGATCATGATGAGGACATTCAACAATCATGACCTAAAATGGACATTAAAATTTTCAAAGAGTTTGTAATAGCTTTTTTGTTTTAAATTCAAGATGTTTCAAACCTCCAGTGACAACAATTGTACTGGGACAAGCAAAATGCATTTGTATGAAAAAAAAAAAAAAACTCAAAAGGTAGTCTAGCTTTAAGTGTCATCAGTGCGGAATTGAAAGACTACAGCTCTTCAGCGTGGCCTTTCAACATACAAAAAAGTGTATTATTTCAAATATTTTAACAAAATAGAAATAGGAGAAGTTGCAAAGAATTCTGACATGAAATACGTAGAGATTAACTACTGTAACTGTATTCTTAAAAGAAACACAACATCCACCACAACCAAATGCAGTGGTCATTATCCAGCGCCTCCATTATATTTACCAGACTGTCCATGGCCCTTTCGTTCCATTTGTGTCTCTTAATACTCTCATCTTTCACAGCCTCCTTCAGCTTGTCAAAAATGTCGTCCTGGTCTTTGCCTTTGTATTCAGCCATGAAGCGGGCAAACTCTTCCTGCAGCGTCTCCCAGGCAACCTAAAGAGGCAGGAAGTAGTAAAGAAAGTCATTTCACTTCTGAATCGCTCTTGAGTGGACAGGCTCAACCATCGCCAAAGGGGTTGAGTTAAAACATAAGCATAATCTAAAGCCTGAAAAGAGGGAAATCACAGTATAGGAAACTAAAATATAGGAAACTAAAAGGACAAGTACAGAGAGCAGGGAGGCTGTGCAAAGCTGTGGAGCAATGGTGCTTTGAATGCAGAAGGAGACAAATGAAAATGAGCAATTCTTCAAAATACAAATTTAATGATGAATAATAATTAGACATATTGTATGTGTATAGAACTTTTATACCCAAGTTTAATATTTTTTTAACTTTTTCTCCACATGTATCAATCAGGCATAAATTAATCCTCTAGAAGGACAGATATAAAGTACCTCTAGTGCTTTGTGAGGGAGCTGCTTGTCAGTCCACTGCTTCAGCTTTATGTCAACTGTGGTGTTGAAGGTTCCAGAGTCCATTGTTTGAGCAGCAGGTAGGTATATGTTTTCTATCACATGGGTTGAAACTCGCTCCCACAATTTCTTTTGTAGAATAGACTCCCTGAAAGAAGCAATGCAAGACAAGGAAAGTTAATACAAGAAAAATAAACTCAAAACTAATTCTAATAATAAAAACTGTACAAAAGTAGAGCGACTGCTCTAAAACAGCCCTTTTGACCGTTCTCAGAGTAGAGCAACAATAGGACAAAACACATTGGCCTTGGAAAGGAGAGCAATGTTGCACTCCATCTCTCATTTATCATAAACACGTGCTCATATTTCATTAGAATGTCCTTTGTTCAAGCTCACACTCTTTGCTGTCAATAAGTGCTTTCTCCAATAATGCAGGCTTGCTGCTTGTGGGCTAACAGGGCCACCCTGTTCCCACACACAGGCCATTCATCCTCGTATTGATCAGACAACTGATGCCACGCTCACTGGGGATGGCCACGGAAGCATGCATATATCTAATTTAAAAAGTGAGAAGACACATTCAAAGGCCTAGAACACCTCACGTATGGTGCTTTCTAAAGCAGAGTTAGGACAAACGCACAGTATATACTGTAATTCTGTTGTCCAAATGACTATCTTAGACACTTTTTCAACAACAGAACCCTCCTTGACAAATAGAGACTACATCAAATGTAGTGAACAACTTTGTATCTTTAGGCACCAAAGTAGCAAAATTGCCACATGAGCTCCTGAATCCAGGACACCCTCTCTACAGAAAACTGGCTTCACACAAATATTCCAAATATAAAACATGTAAGTTTTTTCTTACATATTTTTAACTTTTTTATTTGTGTTTAAGTAGCAGCAATACATTTCTATAAAGCTTCTGAAAAAGGGAGCTTAAAAAGGGTTTAAGTTTCATAAAACTATAATTCTGCAAACAGTTTTGGTTGTTGCAGTAATGTAATGTCTACTTACCAAAGTTGTGGTGTTACTTGACTTAAACTAATAACTTCATCCAGGATTTCATTTTTAGCCTTTTCATACAACTCGTTCTAAGGAAATAAAGAGACATTTGAAACAATCTGTAATAAACATATCATTATTCAGATATGATTTGAAAGAGTTGTATTACACGATCTAATTCTCTGAGTCGAGGGTAGTTATTCTTCCATTCAGTCTCAAGATTGAAGCGGGATGCTAACGAGGGAAAAATGCAATTAGTTGAAGAACAAACAAAAAAACAATCACACAGGTCCAGTTCATCAAAGAACACTATTATTTCTGGCGACAAACAAAGAGTGTCGTGGTAAAAAAAAAAAAAAAAAAAAACAGTAAAAAGAATTGCGTAATCAACTAACAGACAACTGAAGTAAAAACAGAACAAGGAATCGACCAGATCATCCTTCGTCAGCCTTTCATGGCGAGTTACTAGACTAGACCTTCATTGCGTGACCAGGAATCCTTAATTAAATATATCAAATGTATTATTAATTCATGCCTCTTATGTTTACAAAATGTAGAGAAAAACCTTTTAATGCATTGTATGTAAGGTGAATCCCAACCCAGTCAGGATTAGGCTAATTGCTGGTCCTTGGGGCCGCAGACACACTGTATATAGAGAAAGGAAGCGGGCTGTGTGATTTGATGCATTGGATCGATCTAACGCACAATGGGCCTCCGGGAGTCGCAGTCTCATGGCCATAAATCTCCAGTATTGTAAAGAAGGAATCTTTGTACTGTTCTATATAATACAGAGACTTTTCTTTGCATAAAAAGCAATTGAAACATTAATAAAGTGAACATAAAACAAACCTTTGAAAACATCAGCTTGCTGCTCAACGGACTCCCTCACCATCTTCCAGAAACAGTCAGACACAGCCAGACTCAGGTTCTTTGTGGTTACTTGGTGAGCTTTTAACATCCCTTCCCTGATTACATACACAGGGTGTTATCTAAACTCATCAATTACCAAATGGGTAAGCAGTGAATCTGAAGAATTTACCGGAGTAATCTTGAATTCTGGAAAAAATCTTCCTCATAATCTTTGATGGAGTCTATTCTCTCAGCACTACTTCCTATAGAAGATGAAAACAATGTAAGGCAAAAGTATCAGTCAATCAAAGTAATGTTAAAACTGGTATTATTACACCACCTTTTCCTGTGACTACAGCAAAATAGCCCAATGCCTTCATAGGGAACAACTTTCCCTCTACAATTTGTTGTATCTGAGGAAAAAACAAAACTGCATCAGCAACTTAAAGCAGCCTGTTGAGGCTGTACTGTGGGTGTGGGGCTCCCTCTGGTGGCCGTACCCTGCTTGGACTGGCCAGATTTTTTTCAGCCAGGTCCACTTTTGTGAGGACAAATATGGTTCTTTTTCCCTGAGGGTCCATCTGGCTAACAAGGTCTGTTACAATGCTTCGCTCGGCGTCAACGCTGCCATCTACAAAACATCAAGTTAAAGGTTTATACCTGAATTACGGAACATAAAGCAGATTTGAAAGAGGGACTTACCCTGAATACAAAGAATAATGGCATTTGGATTTTGCATGTAGGCTTTGCTGATGCTAAAAATGGTGTCTTTTGTATCTGATGCCATACCAGCAGTCACGGTCTGATAGAAAAAGAAAGATTAAAGTTGTTTAAGAGATTTAAAAGTACTAACTACAGAGAATAAATTTTTTTTACTTACACTAATGACACCTGGCAGGTCAACAAGCACCATTCTTTGAATACCTGGACCTTTGACACTTAAAGATATTGTCTGAACCACAAGAATCAGATTCGTTAAAAAGAGTTAAAACATAGCCTTAAAAAAAAAAACTATAACTAGAAGTAGATGCTCCACACCTCAGAGCTAACCGTCTGTCCATCTTTCACACTCTTTCTCATTCTGAGCTCAATCTCGTGCCTCAAAGCTGCCAACTGTTGAACAAGCAGCAATACAACAGTCAAAAGACAGAATCACATTGTACTGCACAAGTGTAATCAGAACTCACATCCTCCTCCTTGTTCAGATCAAACTCTCGTCCACTGTCCTTAAACATTGCCACATGATGTGGGCCTTCGCTTAGTGTAACCTAGAAGACAAAAAACAAACCTCGCAATTGTTTTTAAGATGGTATCCCAGACTGGATGTGCCTAAACTGTACCCAAACTTCATGACTCAGTCCCCCTTGCCTTTCAACCGAAATAAGGTACAACTTTCCCATCTGAAGAATTAGTTCTCTGAGCGTTCACTCTTGGTGAGGAGATGTGAAAGCACCAAGTATACACTGGCCCAGTATTCTCTTGAAACACATCTGGAACTTTGGATCAGATAAGAGGCTAATGCAACAGTCCTCACAAATGTAAAAGTGGGAGGTGCCCTAAAAACTCTAAAACACGTAATTGACGTCTGTAATTACTTCCGATGGATCAACAGTGACGATATTGAATAAGTTGGAGTTTTTAATTAATGTCCTCCTCATATTCCATTTGCAAAGTAGCAGCTGTCTGTTTTAACACTGTAAAACCCCTCACCACACACTTTATACACTTTTCTAACCGCCTGAAAGACCAAGTACATAAAAACGGGTGCAACTAACCTTAACAGGAGAGCGTGTCATCATCTCTCCAGAGCCCCGAGGGAAAATCCTAGCCTGAGCAATCATCTCTAATACACTCGTCTTCCCAGCACTCTGATCCCCAACTACAACCACCTGTGGAACATAACCAATGCTCTAAACACCAAAAACAAAAAAGGGAAATCAGGTCATTTTCAAAAATGTCCTTACTCTTGGCAGATGGTCTTGAGTGTTATAATTTGAGTCATAGTCAGACAAGATATCCAGGACTTCAGAATACAAGTCAATAAGTGATTTCTGAAGGAAGAGAGACACAGTTTAAAATGGTTGACCATCCAGACACTTGAATCTCTTGTAAATAAAGATAAATGAGAAGCAACCACATTACTTTGACTTTTCTTTGGTGTATTCCTTTGTCATCTTTCTGCAGAACGACTTTTCGAAGCTCTTTGTTTTCTTTTTCAAGTCGTTCTAACATGCGCTGATATTTCATCTATTGAGAAAAAAAACGTGATCAGCCAATTTTCAAATAAATAAAAATGAACAAGAGCGCCTTCTTACCTGAGTGCGGAGGAGCTCTTCCTGAAGCTGATCAATCTTTTCTCTGTCCGATGACTAGAAATGTGCAAGAGAACGTTACTTAAAGCATAATGTCCTACTGTGCAGGCACAAAATCCCAACAGCATTGCAGCGATCAATGCGGGCAAATTTGAGGTTATAATTAATAAAGGCATGATTTAAAATACATAATTGTAGAATCATTTTGCAGTGCATTACACAAGCACAAATCACAATAAAAGATCATCTACAGGATACAGCACAATTATCCCCATCAAAAAGGAATGATTATTGATACATTGAAATGCCACAACAAAAATACAATTGTTAAGAATGAATGATGCGATAGGAAAAGGAAAGAACACACACACATGAACAAAGGAATTAAATCACAACAGGATAATCTTAAAACACGTCACTACATACCGAGATCCACATGGTGGCCAACTATGAGCAGCGTGTGTATTAAGTGTATATGTGCGTCTCTCACCATGCAACAAGTCGTATTCTAACTCCATGCAATAGTTCCACTTTAAATAGAGCATTGCTTCAGAGAGAAGGCCCCATGCCGGTGCACACTGACACACTTTTAGAGCAGTGAGAATGTGTGTAAAATAAGCAGAGGTTGATTGATGCGATTTGACGTATGATTTTCATAATTGTTAAACTCCAGGTTATACCAGAATCCAATTTAAGGCTATGCTTTTGTTTAAAAAAAAGGCACAAAAACAGCTCTGTCTTTAAGATTATCATCTAAGGATTTGTCATAGCGTAAATCTCTTCCACGGAGATAGAGATTCTCCTTTTCAAAGTATTCATACCAATAAAATTTAGTTGAGTCCTGTTTTGACCCAAAACACAATAATTGTTGACATTTTAGGTGAAAGACACAACACCGTTAAAAATAAATGTGAGGTGAAAGCAAAATTTACTTTTTTGTGCATAAACCATCATTTGCATTGATAATTAGGGCAGAGGAGGATCCATAAAGCATTGACTGAGGAGCAGAATAATCTTAGTCATGTATTTTTACAATAACACTGTTTTCATGTTTGTGGTCCTAATGAAACAGATTCATGGAGTAAGAACACTTTTGCAAGGCCCCAGACAGTTGAAGCAGGGGAGATGTGTTTGTGCCGATTCATCCCAAAAGTTCCTGATATCAGCTAAAAACAATTCCAGCCTTGAGGGAATAATGTTGTTCACTCACATTAGATTTTGTTGAGGCAAATTGTATCGATTAAGGAAAATGTGCAAAGAGTAATCTTTTTGACGCAAAGAAAATTGTGTTTTTCAAATTTTTAGTGGGACATCCAAGTGAGACAGGACCTTCACCTTTCGCTTCTGTTGAGGGGGAATAGTGCTCGGAGGTGGAATGGGAGCAGGCTCTGGAGGAGGGGAACGCGCATTACTGGCTTCAGCGGCCCGCCGGACTTCTTCCTCGTGCCGCTGAATCTGTTGCTGAATAAGAATCAGCTCCCCAAGCAGACCCTGCTGGGGCACGTCATAGTGAGACAGAGGCAGCAGCAACAACAGCAACACACTCCAGGGGGCTGCTCTTCCACCCAGCACAATGCTGCTCACAAAACCTGGATGTGACACTAGTGCTCTTGGATGCTGCCTTCATCAAGCCTTACTTCAAGGTTCAGTTCTTGCAACCATCATCATGACCACAATAAAATGTTGTCAGTTTTGTAGTTATTCCAGTCCAAAGCAGACCTCTGCACAATCATAAGAGCTGAGGTCGAACAATAGAAAGTAGACCGCCATAATCGGATTATCATGCACAAGTGAAAACATAGCCTTGTGTGTTTTGAATATGTAGATTCAGCTGCAGCGGGTAAAGCCAGTGCAAGTGGACTGTTGCAGGAGTAAGCTGAAATCATAATGTGTGATAGGAATAAAGTGTTTTAGTCCCCAACAGGACAATATACTTATTCATAGTTACAAAATTTGACCAAAATATCAGACCGATAAAATAACCAAGCATGGAGCATTTCCATGTGGATATAGATTGCAAAAAAGCAAGGCATTGTTCTGTTGGGTAGAGGGTATTCCAGGTTTTATTGTCCATGATCATGTTTTTGTGCAATGTTCTGTACATGAACAAAACAACATTTATGTACAGCTTAACACATAAATGGAATGAAAGCGACTGACAAAAGGAGAGGAGGAAGAAACATGGCAAATAATGAATACAAAAGCATGTAAAATGTAAGTTCTTAGTACTCTCATCAGATAATCAATATCAGAATAATATTGAGGCCATCTTTTTTTATATAGAGCTTTTTTGGACACTCTGACACTTTTGGCATTACTCCTTCACTCCATACACGGTAGTGATATCTTCTACCTGGGATACTTGTGGCACCTGGTGTTCCCAGAGGTCTCCCGTCACAGTATAAATCAGGCCCTGCCATGCTTAGCTTCAGAGGTCTGATAAGATCTGGCTTTTCACATGACATTATCAATAACAATATGGTTTAGTAAATGGCGACTTATGCTTTAAGCATTTTCCAAAAGCAGCAAAGGAAAGAGATAATGTCAAGTCACATCTCAGTCCAATGACATTTGTTCCCTGCAGTGGATCCATATTGGCTTCATATTGTTGTTGTTAGTGTTTATGTCAAAGAGGAATGAATTGTCTTGATTTAACAATATAAACATGGAAACCGAAGTTCACTGCTATTTCTGGTTTGACTTTATCTTTCTCGCGACCTGCACTAGGACGCACTTCTGCTTTAATACACATGTGCCACACTTACAACATGACAACAACAATGTTGTTGTACGGTGTTTGTGTCCTGCTGAATATTGTGAGCCTACTACCACCATTAGAGCAAAATCTCCTTATCTGCACAAGTGAGCATTCCCATTAAATCTCTTTGCAGAAGTCTGGCCTTGATCCCATTCGCTGGGATCCGTATTTACAGAAAACGTTTCTGAAACTACGAGCAAAGTCAAAACGACTTTGTGTGGATGTAAACAGAGTTACTAATTGTAATATCCAGTTCTTGGCAGACCCACCAATAAAATAGCACACCCATAGTAAAAAAGCGCAGTAGATTTTTAAACATGTATTTTTTTTTACCTCCGACTCATTGTGCAGTGAAACTCAGCACTAATCTAATCTTTAAAACACAAAAGAACAAGAGTTTTGTAGGAGCCTAAATAGAGGCTTAGTTGTTTTGATTTCTATTTTTTTGTATTATTGTTTGATTGAAATAATAATCAGCAGGGAGCGTTTGCAGTCAGAGTGGGGATCACTTGACCTGGAGGGTGCAGTTTTCTGTAACGCTGGAGGGAACTTAGCATATACAGACCCATCCATCCATCCATCCATTTTCTACCCTTTAATCCATTTCTGGGTCAGGGGGGTGGCAATCAGAGATACCACCCAAGTCTCATAGCACCAGCCCCTCACTGACCCTCTGCAGGTGGTGAGTCCACAGGAGGACGGCTGCTCTCTGAGTGTGAGCATAGCCTTGATCTTTCAGTGGGGGCTTTGGGCAAAGTGGGGTTAAGTGTCTTGCCCAAGGACACAACGACAGCAGTCATCAGTGGGAGTCGGTGGAGAAGGTGTAGAGGTGGGAATTGAACCCACAACCCGCATTGGCCTTAAGGCCAATGCTCTACCAACTGAGCTACTGTCGCCCCTTTCGCAAGGGGCATATACAGACGTTGGCTCTTAATCTGCACCTAGGCTTGTGTCAATGCATGGGGCGTGGTAACACATGCAAGTATTTAGTTACAAAGTTCATACAGTTCGATCATGGATGATTTGTTTCTATTTTTTTTTTAATATTCTTAACAATATGAATAATGCGGACCAACGGCACTACTATTAATGATCAACAGGTATGTGCTGCCGCCTTGACTGAGGCCAGCAACAAGATAGGGCACCAAATGTTTAATTTGGAGAGAAAGTGAATTTCTTCTTTTCAATCCCATATAAAACAAAGTGACAGTGGGCAGAGTAAATTAGCTTACCTTTTTGTATTGCTTCTCACTAGACTCTTGCAAGACAGTAGTTTGAGTATCGGTGGCATTAAGTTGCGGATCACTTGTGGTTTCTGTGGACAAATGGGAACACAGGAAAATAATTATTTAGACAACATTTGTGAGTGAGAAAGAAATATAATGTAATGTGCTTTAACATATAACTATGATACTAAAAACAAAAAAGAACGTCTTAAAACACTCCCTTGTTCAGCGTCCACTGGTCCACGTTCTGTAGCTAGCTTAGGTCCTGGATCATTAGTCTGTCCGTCCGGAGGAGCGGATCCCTTTCTCATATGGGTCTCCCTCCCTGTGGGTTTCCCTAGTTCTCCTCCAAGGTTTCTCACTTTTTCCCACTGGGTTTTTTAAGAGTTTTTCCTTGTCGATGCAGGAGGGTCTTGTTGGACAGTTAGTGTCCAACAGAAAGGATTGGTGATGATCAGGACACTTTAGCATTCTACAACATGTATGGACATTTTCTTCTGTGTGTGCTTTATACTGTATTCTTCATGTGTTTTAACTGTTGATTCTCTGACCTGTGTTGGTGATTTCAATGGTTTTGTTAAGTCCTCTGAGATGACTTCTGTTGTGACCTGGGGCTATACAAGAATAAATTGTATTGTATTGTAATTGTGTTGTTTTTATGACTCACTTAGAGCCCTGTGCCATTTAGCCAGTCAAAAGACTGGGTTCGCCTCAAGCTTGGCTTCAAAATTTAACGCAAAATGCAATGATCGCAATGAAACATTTTGTTGCTTTGTGGTTTCTTTTCCAAATGGTCAAATATTCTAAAAACACAAACCATAATCTAGAGAGATTAAAAAAAAATCAGGATAGAAAAAGGGTAGAAGTCAAAGGAGACAGAAAATCACGACCACAAAGACAAAATACAGAACAATGCTGCATTTGTTTTACACACATGTCATAACATTTTATAATTTAATTTAATTTCCAATAGTTAAGGTAGTTAGGGTTAGGATTCCAGATTTGAATTAAAGGTCGACCAATATGAGTTTTTTGTGGCTGATGGCTAAACTAAATTGAAGATTTTTTTTTAGAAAGGCAGGACAGGATTTGATACAGCTAACAAGAGTTGGTGCTAATGCTAACAAGCAATTTGGACACTTTTAGCAGTCATTACAAAATACCTAATTAGGCAAGGGGAATAGGCTCATCTTTAAAAAGAGAAGGGGGAGAACATGGACTCCAAGATAGCAAGTATTTTATTAGGGAGTTTGTTTATAGCTCATGTTTTGCAGTCATTTTTATGAATTTGCATTTTAACATTACATCTTTGGATATTCTTTTTAGCAGGTTTCTCTAAACAAAATGAGTACATTTATGCATTGATTTAAACAGAACTTGAAAAACTCTTTTATCCATGTTGCCGTTAGTATTTTAAAAGACTCATTGTAGTCCTGTTTTATTGTGTATTTATAGTTTCCTTGTGTATATGTGTGCCTTTCTGCTGCTACATTAAGGTATCCTTAATATCCCTTGGGGATATTAAGGATACCTTGAAACTAAGGCCTAACACTTTTAAGATGCAATACATTATTCTGATGTATCGGTCGACCACTACCTTTTATTGTCAAGAAGACATCCCTCAGTGTGTGGCAGAAAACTGCTTGTGTGCCTGCTCTTGTGAAACTCATTTTTTTTAACTCATTGCAGTGAATACAGTACTTAAGTGTTAAGAACTGCAAACTGTTAAAAGTACCTTGATGAAAGTTATTGAAGACAAGGTACATTTCTAATAACACAAATCAACAATAGATATTGTGACATGATGGTGGTTAAAAAGGTTGCGAGAGAAGCTGAGCAGGGATTACACACCTAACAACAGATGCAGACCAGAAGCTCCTTTGACTTGACTACCCAAATTCACACCTGTGAAAATGTGGAGCATGAGAAGAGGGGGGTGGGGGGGGGGGAGGCAGGAAGAACACAAGATAATAATAAATAAAAATTATGAAGACAGAAGCAGAGGGATGGTGACCAAAGCAGGGACATAGCTCAAAGATGTATGTAAACTCACAACTGTGGATAAATGGATATTAGGCAATGATGGTATGATGAAATGTGTCAAATAACACAATAGGCACACACACAATCCAAAGATGTGAGATTTAGAAGAAAAAAATGTAAAAGCAGCACGCATTTGTGATAATGCACAAAAGAGTGCAGATATTCCCGTACTATTGTAAAGCAGCGTTGTCTAGAAAAGCGTGATACAATACTAATGTATTTTTATATGTTCTACAAGTCTCAAAATTGTGTTTAAGTAAATGCAAAACTAAGCATGTATCAACTCACCAGATGACAGCAGGCTTTTCAGAAAAGAGAACTGTTCTCCAATTTTGTCAAAATCAGGCAGTAATTTTGCTATTTCTTCAATCTCCGGTAGAGCCTTGGTAACTTTATCTACAAAAGTAAAAAACAAACTTAAGGACATACTCCAAACAGACAAAAAGCATTAAGTATAAAATATTCAGGACTGCTCGGTTATGCACAAAAAAAGATTATCATATTTTGGCTCAGAATTGAAATGTTACATTTCTCGTAGCTAAAAATGGTTATATACTTTGATAGCGAACAAGCCCATACAGAACATGATTTTTGTACTTGAGCAATACATTGAAATCACAAACTATTACAAATTAAATTGTGCCCAGGAACTTACCCAGATCTATTTGTTCACTCAGCTCCCATACGAAATCAGGAATAACCCAGTTGTATTCACTAAGATCAGGAAACATGTCCTTCCACTCCTCATAGGTCTGGATAATATAATAGAAAAATGTAATATTCCCATATGTCCTCCTCACAAGCAATTGGCTGGACACTAACCTTTTTAGCAGTATATCCTCCTCCCACAGCTGTTCCGAGGAAAATATATCGGAGTTTGAGTAACCTGGCTGCCAGGCGGGCAACCCAAAAGTCCCGCTGCTGCTGATAGTTGCGGCCCTTGGAGCCAGGGGGAGGCGTGGGTTGTCGCATTGGTAGCCGGGACATTGAGGTATAATAACGGGCTGCTGTGCGATGGGGTGAGCGCTGAGCATTTGCGTTTCCCGAGTAGCGATGATGGATGGCCCGGGACAGAGGATGAAGTTTCTGCAGCGGGACTCGAAATCTCACTCCCATGTTTGTAGAAACCAAGTTCTTGCAGGCCATGCTGCCAAATACAGTCTCAATTACATATCCAGTCATTCAGAAGACGTAAGCAAACCCATTTGTCTAACGTGATCTTCGCAATGCGTTAGACAAACGCATTTGCTTATCGTTATCTGACAATAGAATATGGCCTTACAGTACTATACAGTAAGCACCCCACACCAAGTCTGACGCTTCTTGGAGATGGAACTTAGCTAACCGCACCCTACACGTGTATTCAACATAGTTAGATGGACAATGTGTGTTTTAGTAATATGCTTTCCTTATCAAATGTAAGTTGTGTAGGACTACACACAGATGCCAAATGAAACCAGAAGACTCAGCTTCCCTGGTCTCATCTGTCAGAATGACCACTGACAAGTCACGGCACTTCATGTTTAAGTTAGCTGTTATAGCGAAGACACTCACTGCCATCACTTACCAAGCGGCTTTGCTTCCGACGCGAAACATATCGCCTTAATCCAATGCGTCTTAATAATAACACCCTTCAGGTAGAGATCAAACCATCTTTCCAATTCGTATACATTTGCCTATTGAGGCAGCCAACTAGCCTGTTAGCTAGCAAGGACACAGCAACTACTGCACTTCCGGTAACCCGGTCCCATCCCAATACCAGTACGGTCAAAACAGACATGAAAACATAGTTCCTGAGTATCTAAATATCATACGTCCATGGTGGACGTAGAACACGTGGAACTGGCATGATAGATTAATATTATAATAACAGGTACTGATGGCTAGGAAAAATGCAGCTACTTCAATGGTCCAGTATCTCAATCTATATACTCATCTGATACTATAATGGCAATTCATTTAACTTAAGATACAATTTCCACATCAACGGGAGCCATTATAGGCCGTTTATATCATGGACGCATTATTGTATTGTTTTGTGTTTGAACGAATTTAGTTAAAGGAGCAGTATGTAAAAAATCTGGCCAAAAGTGGTACTGCAGTCACAGTCAATTTTATTGTAGTCCTCTCCCACTCTCCCTGACTAAGGTTGCCAGATACACACCAAATCCAGCAGCAAACACAAGGATTTTTTTTTTTATCAGTTTATCTTTCTCCATTCACATTGCCATGATAGTCGTGCTAATGTTGAATGAATGTTTTTATTTTTTATTTGAACAATTGAGATGAGAAAAAACAAAATAAAAGCAATGTAATTATACATAAATTATGCAACATAAATAAGCACTTGAAGTCCGAAATAGGAGCGGGAAGAATGGATGTTGGAACATATTTCTTCAGCGTATCAACATCAGGGTTTCCTCCAGAGGATATCACCCTTCAATTTTGTTTATTCTCTATTTTTTACACATACATGTATAAGTCCCACATCAAAAAGAGACTGACATTGTTTTAATTTGGGGTACACGTGGTCTCAAATGATTCGTATTACTTTAGCTTTAATCTGCAAATAACGACTTGTTTTGACCTTTTACCGTTTTTGAGCAATCTGTCATATATTATATAGTTTAAAGTAGCAATATGTAATATTTGTATGTCAAGTCATCATTAAATGGCCCCAATATTTCAAAAGGCATTATTAAATCATGCTCTTTTCGAATACATCTTTAAATGATAAAAGTGGTTGAGCCGAGATATTTGAATATAAAAATTTGTTTTACGACCCGTAAAAGTTGTTATTGTTTTCATTTCGACGTTCCACCCTCCGCCGTTTCGCCAATTAGGAAATCCGTACTCCGGGTTGCCAAAACCCCCCCCAACTAGCTAATCTCACTGGTGAAATAACATGTGGCCGCAGAACTAAAAGAGGTCTTGTTATAACTAAAATCATTAATGACAAAACAAAGGGGCGCCTTACAAAAATTGAAACTTTTTGTGTGATGCAAAACTTGCTGCTTTGAGTGCGTTCTTCATTGACAGTTAAAATAGCTGCCTCCACAACATGTATGAATGCATGCAATGGTAGTCTAATGGTTGAATCTTAGCGTTTGCACTCAAGCAACCAGGGTTCGAATCTGGTCAGAGTACAGAGTAGTATTTGATTACATGATTCCATGACAGATTGCTCAAAAACAGGTAAGGGACAAAAAAAGCATAACTTTTTTTGCAGATAGCTTATTTGTAAAAAGAATAATTTGAGACCACATGTACCCCAATTAAAATAATGTTAGTCTCTTTTTGATGTGGGACTTATACATGTATGTGTAAAAAATAGGGAATATAAAAATCAAAGGGTGATATCCTCTGGAGGAAACCCTGACGTTGATACGCTGAAGAAATATGTTACAACATCCATTCTTCCCACTCCTATTTTGGACATCAATTGCTAATTTGTTTTGCATAATCTATGTATAATTAAATTGCTTTTGTTTATTTTTTTCTCATCTCAAATGTTTCTCAGGCAATGTGAATGGAGACAGACAAACAACTGATAAAATAATTCCTTGCGTTTGCTGCTGGATTTGGTGTGTATCTGGCAACGTGAGTCAAGGAGAGTGGGAGAGGCATGGATCTATTATAATAACTGGATAGGGTATTACTTAGCTTGGAGATGAAGAACCCATGTGCTCGGGGGATTCTCGCGGTACTGCAGACTAAACCAGACTAAATTGAAGTGGGCTACCCAGAAATGTTCCCCATAGAACTCAATGTAAACTAAAACAGCGCGACCTCAGCTGACAGAACCTATACAGCTTTCATAAAGGTCGGATTTTGTGGGGATTTTAGTGTCCCTTGTCATCCTGTACTTTTTTTCTTCGGTTTTCTTTAAATCCACACTTTAGTGCCACAAACTCTGCTCGTCTGGCTCCCGCTCTAACTCCCGCTCTGATGGTCAGAGCGCAGCCGAGCCCCTCTGTGCGCGTTCATGACAGCCACACACGCGTATTTCGCGCAACGCATCATGGGAGTTGATCCACTGCGCAGAACCGGGAGGACCAGACGATGCCCAAATACAGACGAGTTTCCCATGGATCTTTGCGAGTTCCAGGCGGAGTTCCGCTAATCTTTCAGCCCCCATGCCGGCACAAAGCGCCACTGAGCAAAAACCATTCATTTGAATACGGCGCCATCTTGGATCGCCAGGGCTCGCACGAGCCCCATACATTTAACGAGTGCCTTCAAAACGACTAAACTAGACTGGTCCAAAAAAATGTATCTCCCCTCAGCATTGACACACATGTGGAACGTAGCTCTGGGCCAAGAGCCGACTTTTGGACCATCCTGTAAAGACGTTTTCGAGAGGTCAGCTAATGCTATATGTTAGCATTGAATAATTCTTATTCCGGATCCACCCCCATCGCCCCGGGGTGGTATTGCAAGCATTTGGCCACTTTTGAGCCAGGACCCGCCCCCACTGGTGCAGCCTTGCTGCACGTTATCAAGATGAATCTGAATCTGAAATGGAGCGGGCCAAAGACGTTTTAAGATGGACCCTGGTGGAAAGTCCCGCGACTACTCACCACACCGCAAATGTGAAAATATATTAAACTAAAATATCATAAAATGTGACTGCACATTTTGTGTGCGTCACACTGGTTAAGCCGAGTGAAGCTCTGAGGAGCTGGCAACGAGGACATTGTCCTAGTAGACAAAGACAAAAAGGCATGTCCCGGGAACGACGTGTCCAAGTTTTTCAGGCCAAAAGGCATCCTGAGAAACTCAAACAGCCCGAAAGGAGTCACCATCGCCGTCCTTAGGATGTCAGCAGGGTGCACCCGGACTTGGTGGTAGCCCTGCACCAGATCCACTTTAGTGAACAAGCACTTCCCCGCCAAATGTTCAGAAAAGTCCAGAATGTGGGGCACCGAGTAACGATCGGGCGTGGTGGCATCATTGAGACAGCGGTAGCCGCCACATGGGCGCAAGCCACCGTCTGGCCCATAGGCTGTCAGAACGGCGAATGATGCCAAGGCGTTCCATGTTGGCGAATTCGGCCTTGGCGAATTCGGCCTTGGCAGTCTCTCTGGATTGAGCCGCCGGGCTCTGGCATGGACGAGAGGGCCCTTGGTCTCGATGTGTTGCTCGACTCCGTGTTTAGCCCTAGCAGCTGGGAAAGTGGGCCGCGTCAGGTCAGGGAACTCCATGAGGAGCTGTATGTACTTGCTGCCTTCAGAGAGCGAACTGGAGAGACCATCGTATGTCCCCTCATCGTAGACACACGCAAACAAGGAGAAGGTTAAAGCGTCTACCAGGCCGCCATTCTTGACATCCACGAGCAACCCAGGGCACACAGAAAATCTGCACCGAGGAGGGGAAATGAGACCGCTACAGCACGCGGCTCCGTAATGGCTGTATTTGAGAGCTCCGTCTGCACGTGCACGTGTGTCGCAAAATCAGTTCCATGAATAGGAAATTTGGCTCCTCACTGCCCAGTAGGTTTAACATTGCCTCCGTGTGTTCAGAGGGCTTGCTATCCCCCAGGCCCTGCCTAGAAAGGAGGCGTCGGGCCAAGATGTGAAGTGATCCAAAACAGTTCTATTCAAATGAATAAATTGTTCTCAGTAGCGCATGGGACATCACGGGCGCTGACATGTTAGCAGGACTCGCCTATATTTGGGCATCGTCTGGTCCTCCCGGTTCTGCGCAGTGGACGAGCTCCCGTGATGCGTTGCGCCCTGTGGGGATGGGTCCCAGCTCAAAAGTGGCCAAAATGACGTGCGCTGACATGCTTGCAATACCACCCCGGGCCAATGGGGGTGGACCCGGATAAAGAATAAGCTAATGCTAACATATAGCATTTTCTTACCTCTCAAAAACGTCTTTACAGGATGGTCCAAAAGTTGGCTCTTGGCCTTAAAGGCACTATACCCGTTTCTGCAAGGTTTGAATGTTTAGCACCGCCCCCGACTCGCTCAATGGCTTCTCATTTTCCCTACGCTCTCATAACACAGAGCCATCTAGTTCAATTTGCGATCTGACATGTATGCTAACATTAGCATTAGCACAACTTCTTGTAAGCTGTACAACAATCACTGATGAAATAAGTACTAAAGCAACGCACTGCTAACACAATATATAGGTAAAAG